TTTCCCATGTTTGGTAAGTCAGGCATGGGAAAGCGATTCCTAGCACATGGGAAAGTAGGAGGGAAAGTGAATCCTTCCTTCCTCCTTAGGTTTCACTTTCCCTTCCCATGGGAAAGTAAAACTAGCATTAAATACAATTTTTTTTGACTAATTTGTCCTTACTAACAATTCATAATTACAATTTTTATCCAACAATTATTGGTATTCTTTTTTTTTTAATAGGGGTACAATTGGGAAACTAAACAAATTTTGTTTTCCATTCCTACTCAAAACAAACATGGGAAAGGAAATAAAGTGATATTTCCGGATCACTTTCCCGGCATTACCAAACATGGGAAAGGAATCAACATTTCCCATCCCTTGGGAAATGACATGGGAAATGATTTCCCATCAAATTCATTCCGTGAACCAAACGGGGCCTAATAGTAAGTTGGCTTAATGCGCAACTATATGTCATAATTTTGACTACCCTTGGCGTACTAGTTTTTGAAATATTTGGCTATTTCCAAGTGGCCGAACGAACCCGCAGTTTGGCAATATTCAAATTGTGAACAAGATCGAATTATTTGGTTTGGTTTGGTTTTAGAACGAATTTTCAAAAAAATTATTTAAAAACCAGACCGATTTGATTAGTTTCTCGATGAATATGCCCAGCCCAATTACTAAGGGATCCATATCCTCTACTCTAATTTTCTCTGCCATGATCTCCTGAACTTTCATTCTCCACATACCACCTCATTAAAATTTAGGGTTTTGTAAGGTGTGAAACTTTCCAAAAGTTTGGGGGGGGGGGGAGATACTTGTGAAAGGAGAAGAAATGGAGAGAATATGAGGCGGCGACGGTTGAGAAAGAGTAACAGTGAAAAGAGAGCATGGAATAGAAGAGAAAAAGAAAAAGAGAAAAAGAGAAAGGGAGACAAAGAAGAGGAGAGAGAAGAGGCACACCGAGTAGCAGACATAGGCTTATCAATTTTATAATGTATTTAAATTCCACTAAAATGCCTTTAAATATCCTAATTGTAACCGACATGGGCTTAGCCAAGTTGGCTAAAGCAAATGTGATCCCCACTCTACACTAAATTTCGAATCTCCCTCCCTATAGTTTAGGTTAATTTAAAGTAGAATATCGTGTGTGCTTGCCTCCCAAGATCTTCAAGATCGTGGTTTTCCAGGCACCATTGGATCTTACGAGGAGGCATCGATTCCCGATATTGAGGGCAAGGTTGAAGTCCTCGATCAGAGGCTTAAAGGCCGGCGGAGAATGGTCGTTGATCCCTTGTTAGGTGAATTTTAGGCCTAGGGTGGTTTTGGGGGGAGGGGTGTTTGTGGAGGGTTTATGAAGAGTGGCTGGGGGAGGGAGAGAGAGGGTTGCTAGGGCTAGGAATTTTTTTTTTTGTTTTTTGGTTTTAAAAATACTATTTTGAAATTATTTTTATTGTTTCTTTTTCTTTTCGGAAATACCCTTAACATGGACTAGTTGAACTGGCATGTTAGGATCTGTGGTGGGTCCTGTAGTTGCCACAGTAGCATTAAACGTTTGATCAGATGGTCAATCTAAGGGGAAGTGTGAATTGGTCAGATTTTGAAACATTAGGTATCAACTTGATGAAATTGAAACCTGAAGTCCCATTTCGATACGACATCTAAACCTTGATGGAGTAAAATGTAGTTAGTCCAAAAAAAAAAAACCCCCTCAATGTACAAAGATATCACAAGAAAAGTGATTACCATAAGGCTGCGTTTGGTTCATGGGAAAGGAATCTTGGGCATGGGAAATCAATTCCTTTCCCATGTTTGGTAAGTCAGGCATGGGAAAGCGATTCCTAGCACATGGGAAAGTAGGAGGGAAAGTGAATCCTTCCTTCCTCCTTAGGTTTCACTTTCCCTTCCCATGGGAAAGTAAAACTAGCATTAAATACAATTTTTTTTGACTAATTTGTCCTTACTAACAATTCATAATTACAATTTTTATCCAACAATTATTGGTATTCTTTTTTTTTTTAATAGGGGTACAATTGGGAAACTAAACAAATTTTGTTTTCCATTCCTACTCAAAACAAACATGGGAAAGGAAATAAAGTGATATTTCCGGATCACTTTCCCGGCATTACCAAACATGGGAAAGGAATCAACATTTCCCATCCCTTGGGAAAT